ACAGTTGAGCGAATAAGGTCGGTTTACGATATCAAGCGATGACGAACGAAGTGCGCCAAGAACGGACTATCGAGCGTGCAGGGCTTTATTATGTCAAAATAAACGATGACGGGGAGAGATTGACAGCTGATCACACCATCAATCTACTCTGGTGATGGACTCAGGTCTCTCCTCAGAGATTTTTCCGGGGTTCTCCGACTTGGGCGGAAACTGCTAAACTATTTATAGACAGAGGTGTCTGACGGAGATACCCAATGATGAACCGTTATGTGGAATCTTTAATTTTCTGGCAAGCAGCAGTTCTTTGTGCTCTCAGGTTGCTATCAGGTTACAAGGTAGTGGGTCAGGTTTTCTGCCTGTTACGTATGAGGTTATGATGAGGGGCTTACGCTTGTTTCTTGACCAGTTGCAGGGATTTATGGCAGGGCTATCCCCTTTCACCCTGACCAGTCTTAAGTTTCCTTTCTTGTTTGTGACGTGGGCATAAATTATATACAGCTCTCCGCCAGGATTTTGTTTCAGGAGTTTCTAGCAAGGATTTCTTTTTAACCCTTAGTTGACTACTTGAATGGTATCTCTTGCTAGTGGCATGGGCACTGATTAACTGGGTTGTGACAATATTGTTATGTGAAGAGTGCACAATCTGAAGTTACCACCAAATTTCAAAAGCATTTTAACATTCTGTTCTGAGGTTTTAAGAGGTTGTGTAATTATTGCCACCAAATTAACTGCTCATAAAAATGGTGGGGAAGAGAAAGTCTTGATCTTTTTTTTTTTTTTTTTTTTTTTTTTTTTTTTTTTTTTTTTTTTTTTTTTTTTTTTTTTTTTTTTTTTTTTTTTTTTTTTTTTTTTTTTTTTTTTTTTTTTTTTTTTTTTTTTTTTTTTTTTTTTTTTTTTTTTTTTTTTTTTTTTTTTTTTTTTTTTTTTTTTTTTTTTTTTTTTTTTTTTTTTTTTTTTTTTTTTTTTTTTTTTTTTTTTTTTTTTTTTTTTTTTTTTTTTTTTTTTTTTTTTTTTTTTTTTTTTTTTTTTTTTTTTTTTTTTTTTTTTTTTTTTTTTTTTTTTTTTTTTTTTTTTTTTTTTTTTTTTTTTTTTTTTTTTTTTTTTTTTTTTTTTTTTTTTTTTTTTTTTTTTTTTTTTTTTTTTTTTTTTTTTTTTTTTTTTTTTTTTTTTTTTTTTTTTTTTTTTTTTTTTTTTTTTTTTTTTTTTTTTTTTTTTTTTTTTTTTTTTTTTTTTTTTTTTTTTTTTTTTTTTTTTTTTTTTTTTTTTTTTTTTTTTTTTTTTTTTTTTTTTTTTTTTTTTTTTTTTTTTTTTTTTTTTTTTTTTTTTTTTTTTTTTTTTTTTTTTTTTTTTTTTTTTTTTTTTTTTTTTTTTTTTTTTTTTTTTTTTTTTTTTTTTTTTTTTTTTTTTTTTTTTTTTTTTTTTTTTTTTTTTTTTTTTTTTTTTTTTTTTTTTTTTTTTTTTTTTTTTTTTTTTTTTTTTTTTTTTTTTTTTTTTTTTTTTTTTTTTTTTTTTTTTTTTTTTTTTTTTTTTTTTTTTTTTTTTTTTTTTTTTTTTTTTTTTTTTTTTTTTTTTTTTTTTTTTTTTTTTTTTTTTTTTTTTTAGCTTTTCTTTGGCTACCTAAAATCAAAGAGCAATTACAACTGATTATTCCTAGCACTTTAAGTACTAGGGTAAGAAATATTTACTGTTCTTCAAAAGTCATACACAACCCTGTCCAAATATAGCTCAGCTTATTTACACCTAGACCACTGATATTTTGTAATGGCAGACTCTGTACTTTGAATATACACACACATATGGTTGTGAACCAGCAGGAAACACCGGCTATTTTTCATATATAACCCACTTGTACCTCCACACCACTGACCTATTCTTGGCGTGTTTATTTAGCAGTGTTCTTTAAATTCAAATATGCAAAATAAGTAACAGGAATTTTTCTTTAAAAAGGGATCTTGTTAAACAGCATTTTGCAAAATTACTGTTAAATTGTATCTAGTATCATGCTTTTTCCACCTGAAACATAAAGCTACAAAGATAAGGACACTATGGACACATCATTTATATGTAAAAACACAGTGAATGAGCAAAAAAAGGAGAGCTTGTTGCTACAGATATTTTTAAAGCATATGCAGCATTTTTAGAAAATGAAGGCCATCATCATTCAAAATGTCTCTAATTTTAATTCCAATACACATGCCTTTCTTCCTTTGAATTTACAAATTGGAAGGTACTATATTCAGTGTTCATCTAAATCTGTTAGGCAGCTTTGAATAGAGCTTTCCAACTTCAGTTTTACCTTTGTTTAAAAACCCTTATTTTAGAATATTGATCCTGTATAGTTTAGAATGAGATAAAAGATATAGCCAATTAAATAGTTAGCGGCAGATGGTCTAGAATTTTAACAGTTGTTGATATGTGAACGGATAGATTCAGACTTTTTAAAAAGTGCATGTTGCCAGCATACCAACAAATATTTGTATTCTTATAGTGTGGGAGTGATATTGTAAGCTGTGATCGTCTAGGAAATGTGTGAGGGGCAAGGTTTTTTGTAGATCTCTTTCATTGGACCTACTACATATATGGGACAGACTTAGATAAGCTTTTGAATGCAATGCATTTTTCTCTAAGTCTAATGGAAAAAGCAGGCATAGTCTTTTACAAAATATATACATTTATATAAAAATGTACAGTCTGCAGGGTTGTGAAACTGAAGAAGTAAATTCCTAGGGGTAGCAGACAAACAGATCACAGAAGAAAGGGTAGCTTGTGTAGAAAAACATCAAGACCTTTCAAAAGGAAAAAACTTCATTTTCACCTATACAGTGAAGAATGATTATGACAAGTCAGGTAGATTATAGTATGTCATTAAATCAGTATTGGTTTTTAGACCTTGGTTATTAGTATGCAGCCACCTAATTAAATTTGTGTTCCCAAGCTCAACCTTTGAAGGTGTTCTGTGAATTTCCCTTGAGGATGAGGATAGTGAGGTCAGAAAGTGTGTGGTTGGTCTGTGAAAAGTGTCCACCAAAATGTGTGTCTGTCCTTTCTTTTTCTTGTGATCAGTTATTCTCATGCATAGTTTTAATCTAGTTTCACTCACCCTAATTTTAATGAGAGCGTATGGTGCACTGGATGAGATGTGACACGTTTTGGGATACACAACTGTAGGATTCATGAATTCTGATGGGGGCTATTCTGGGGGAGGGCTTTGATTGTTGTAGCAGTGGAGCTGTTTTGACAGGTTTTGTATTTGTTGTTAAGGCAAGTCTATGACCCACTTGACACAGCAGAGAGTTTGCTTCTGATGATGAGTTGAGCAAGGTTAAAGGGTTGTCTGAAAGCCAGGAGCAAGGGGACAGGGAATATTTCTTTCAAGGTCTGATTGTTCTTGAGTATAGGATGCAATTGTTTGATCGTTCTTCTTAACCATTCAAGTGTACAATAGTAGGTGACCACCAAAGGTGTGCAGTCACAGTACAGTTGCTTTTTGTACAGTAGCAGGTTATGTACTGCAGGGTATTTGAGTAGCTATTTAAAAGATTCAGTCTGTTTCTCTGTTGGAGTGTCTTTGTTGTATAAAGTCAAATTTCAAGTCAGCAAAATGGGTGTTGTAGTCTCCTCAGAGCAGATGCAGTGGTACCCGAGGGCCTGACTACATTACAGTTCTTTCTTTGTGTTTGAAATGATTGCTGGTTTTGTGGACACAGTCATTTAAACAACAAGAAAATGTTTTCACTAGCTTGACTGAATTTTGACCCTGAAGCATCATGGAACAGATTATAGACATCCTCTCACTTTGTTCAGCCAAACACTTTATCATTTAAGGTCATTTTTTAGTACTGTAGTGTAAACAGACTTCAGTATCATCCAGTAATGAAAGTAGATGGCTTACAACTTAAGTCAAGCATTTTTTTCAGACCTCCCTGCCTCCTTTGTCATCAATATTCATTTTAATAACTTGCTGCTTTCATTCTCTCTCTCTGCTGTAACCAGGATATTGAAGAGACAATGAATACAGCTCTGAACGAACTTCGTGAGTTGGAACGCCAGAGCTCGGCAAAGCACGCCCCTGATGTGGTGCTGGATACATTGGAACAAATGAAAAATTCTCCCACCCCTGCCACCTCGACAGAATCCCTAAGTCCTCTCCATAGTGTTGTATTAAGAAGCACTGAGCCTCAGATTCGACGTAGCACTAGTTCTTCCAGTGATACAATGAGTACTTTCAAGCCCATGGTAGCTCCTAGAATGGGAGTGCAGTTAAAACCCCCTGCCCTAAGGCCAAAACCCATTGTTCTTCCAAAAACAAATCCAAGCATAGGACCTTCCCCTCCTTCCCAAGGTCCAACGGACAAGTCTTGCACAATGTAAAAAGCTAGGCAGCCCTCATAAGTAAGAGGGGGCCATGTTACTGAAAGGAATGGATTAGTGATAAAAGTCAGGGGTTCCATAACATAATTAGTTCATGTTTATAACTGGAGAGGTCTTGTTTTTCAGTGTTTTTGAATGTAACTAGCTACATTACCATGGGCATTGGTAATTTCTATTGTTTCAATTTTTTAAAAACTGGACAATTGTGTGTCATTATAAAAACAAAACACAGACTTACTTGAAAACTTGATGCTGCACCATTTGTAATAAAAGCAACACAAATCACAAGTAGCTTCCCACATTGTACCATATTTCACAGTCTTACTGTAGTTTACTTAAATGATCCTGTGCAAAGGTAATGTGAAAGGATTCATAAGGGGATGTGGAGCCATCACTAGATCACTGGTTCCCATCTCAGACTGGCTTGTGAAAAATGGAAGTTAGTATGTGAGACTTATTCATAGTTTCATAGTAGTTAGGGGTCAGAAGGGACCTAAATAGATCATCTAGTCTGACCCCCCACCACTGGCAGGGGCACACGCTGAGATCACATGACCCCAGACAGGGGTTCCTCCAACCTCCTTTTTAATTTACCCAAGGTAGGAGTGAGGACCACTTCCCTAGGAAGTTGGTTCCAGATCCTAGCTACCCTAACAGTGAAATAGTGCCTCCTAATCTCTAACCTGAACCTATTCTCCAGCAGCTTCTGGCCATTGTTCCTCGTCACCCCAGGTGCTGCTGGGGGGAATAGGACCCTCCCTATTTGCTGCTCATCTCCCCTAACGAGTTTGTAGGCAGCCACCAAATCCCCCCTCAACCTCCGTTTGCTGAGGCTGAACAGGTTCAGGTCCCTCAGCCTCTCCTCATAGGGCCTGCCCTGTTGCCCTCCAACCAAGTGGGTGGCCCTCCTCTGAACCCTCTCAAGGCAGGCCACATCCTTCTTAAAGTGCAGTGCCCAGAACTGAATGCAGTACTCCAATTGAGGCCGGACCAATGTTGCATAGAGGGAGAGTATCACCTCTCTGGACTGGCTTGAGATGCTTGAGACCATCTTATTAAAGTACTTGTGTAATGGACAGGAAATTTCAGTCCACAGAATTATTTAAAAGACAAAAATAAAACCAAATGCCACACACATCTTCACAATTGGCACAATGTATTTAAGTATCCTTGCTAACAGTCTGCTGAATTGGTATGCAGACTGCTTTACTCTCACTAATATAGTATAACTTCTGGTCAGGGTTAAAGTATATTGCCAGGATAGCGTGGAGAAATTTCTTATGCAGTCACCTGGTGTCCCTTTGCAGTGAAGCTAGAACTTCAGTTCTTGGGGCTATCAGACACCTTTCACAAACACTAAATTCACTTAAAGTTTACAGTTCAGTGATCCAAGGATCTGGATGCATGCAAATCTGTGGATCTCTGTGCAGGACTAAAACAAGAGAGTAAAAGAATCAGCTAAACTATCATTCACGAAAATGTTCCTCGGAACTTATTACTTGGTATTTAAATAACTTAAGTTGAAATAATTACAGTTTCCAGCTGCTGTAGCTTCATTAGTTAGCCTACACAGTAAAAACAATATGCAGTTTCCTCAATTACACTTACTAGAGTGAGTTCCTCTTGGGAGCTAGACTGACTCCTAATTATGCAGGGGCTTGGTCAAAGGATAGATATTTTATGTTCTACTGCCTAGGATCAATCTGAATAAAGTTTACCAGAACCACTTTTTCTCCCTCATGTCCATATATGAGTGAAGCCTTCATCGACTTTGCTTAGTGCTCCATTGTTTTGTTACATGTAAACTAATTGTACAGCTGTTTGCACATTGTACACTAAGCCATAACATTATTTCTGTGAATATTTTTTTCAATGCCACCTGCCCAGTCTGTTGGGTAATTTGCAGCAGGTTAGGCAACCATGAAGACTGATTTATAATAAGGAATATCTTACTGGTTGCTATTACCTAAAATATCATGGCTGAAACAAAAAATCCAGCTGATATTCTGCTATAAAAATAAAACTGGTTTCACATGCAGGTTGTTTTTCTACATAGCGTTCGTTTCATCTTACCATTCTTTCCATGGAACATTTTAAGTTATACTACTCACTATACAGAAAGCTAACTGGGGAGAGAGGAGTGTTAATGACTCATTACAAAGATTTGGTTAGCGTATTGGAATCTAGGTAAGATGACAGAGACCATGTCTTGTTGTCATTTGAGAATTATTTATTGCTGCTGGGGTTTGCTAATTACAGATAAGGGAACACAGAGCCCAGAATATGACAAATAGCCCATAAAGTACATTCAAGAACAAGGCTATCTGGGTCATTCCCATTGTTCCTAGTACTTGCACTCCAACTAGGGGATCAAGGAGTCTATAAGCACATCTGTTTGGGGGACGGGCTGTCAGATATTTAAATTCTTATCTACCATGGTGAACCGTGAGGCACCGGTCAGATCTACTGAGGTAACAACTGTGCACACAGCGTAACAATCTGTCAAGTTCATGTTTAATTATACACTTCTTGACTGTGCCCTGTAGTTGTAAGTTCCATTGCAAGGTTCTAACTGAGGCCAGTCTCAGCTATAGGCTAAATTTAGTCTATACTGTAGTTATGTTCACCTGTCAAGAACTAGAAGTTATCAAATAGTTTCCAAATTTACTAGGATCAGTGGAACAAACTGGAATTTCAGCTTTCATTTACGTGCAGTTCTTGTCTAGTATTTTTTTAAATAACCTATGTGGCATAATTGAGATGGATACCTGTATCTTTAAATTACATAGGGAATTTTGTATGTTAAATAACTGTACTGGACTCCATAATGCTTATATTAGAAATTGTTTAGCAAAATAAAATATTAGAAACAGTGCATTTAGTGAATGCATCCACTTAAAGCATTCACACAAGTTAAATGTGTAGTTTGATGGTTATTATAGATACTTAAAAGTATAGTAAGTGGATATGTAACAGGAAAGACTGATACAACTACAGACGCACTAAAGGGTAACTCCTGCACACCTAATCAAATCAGTATTGTCCTTTACTGTCAGTTTGATAAATTGCAGTACTGGTAGCTGCCTGCTTGTTGACTGTTACCTAATTGTGTCTATGTACATCTGTAGTATGTACATGTGAAAGTGCCTTTAAAATTTTAGAGGAGCTTTAGCCTTGCTCTTGTACTGTTGCATTTCCATTGCGTTCCTCCTTGCTCTTATATTGTTGCATTTTCATGAAATTTTCCCTGCTCTTGTATAGCTGCATTGCCATTGCATTCCTTCCGTTCTCAAAGAACAAAAAAAGTTGAATTTACACAGTTCTGGAAGAAAAATGTACTGTTAATCTGTTGTGACAATGCACTTTTATGTATAGTACTGTACATTTTGGCATGTACCATTACAAGCTTCAGTATACATTCAGATTTGTTCCTCATAGTGTATCTTTATAATAAAGAAAATAGTTCTGTCTGTGTTTGTGTAGTTTTAATGGTGTGACCTTCCATATACTTTATTTTTTGTATGCGTCTCCCCAGATTACTTTACTTTTCCTCTCCTCAGTAATGTGAAGAGAAGAGGTTTGGAGTTCCTCCAGTTCTGCAGGGAAAAATTAATTGGGTGGACAGAAGATCCTTTACAGATGAGACTCTAGTCGGAGATTTGACAACAAGATTTGAGGCATAGCAACAGGTCTCCACAAAGACCTCCATTACCATCCCTCAGCTTTCACCCTTTCCTGAACAAACCTGCTGTTGTTTTGGATGGGACTTCATAGAGAAACACTGCTGGCACACTTTTAGATCAGCTAGAGAGGGTTTTAGTTGAACATGAAATCTTAATTTGTGCACTGTGCTTTAAACTCCCACTCCGCAAAGGGTCACACAATCAAATTTGTATGTTCTCAACAGGGTAGCATTACTAATACACATTTCAGAACTTTTAGGAACATTTTTGTTGAAACACATATGTTTGTCAAAACAGTCTTTTCACTAAAATACAACACCTTCAACTAACAGTTTAGTGGGAATGTTTCTTAGCTCCAAGATTGAAATTGAAATTATTTTGTAGATATATCACAAATTCAGATTAAGTATCTTTGGACATAATTTGTAACTTAACTCTATAACTGCTATAGGACTTAAGGTGTCAGCAATATCGTCTGGGCCAACTCCATCAGTGTTGTTTTCTGACTATTAGTATTATTTAGGATCATGTCAGGCTCCCTCGGTGTGGATGATCTGTGTATTGGTCGTCAGGACAGTGTCTGTGATGCAGTACCCCAACAACCTCATTGTTACAAGAGAAAGAGGCTTTGATTCTTAGTAGCAAAGAGCTCCAGGTTTATTGTCTACAAAGAAGCCAAGACACTAGTATCTGTGATCAGCCAGAGCCCAGTGCTTGCCAGGTTATTTGAAGGCATGGTACAGGCATAATACACAGTGGATGCACCCCCTAAGCCCAATACAAAGTATCAAGGGTTCTTGGGTCCCTTTGTATACATTGATCAGAACAACTTCCTGTTCACAGCCTATAGATCCTAGCTCTTGCCAACTACCAAAACATCATTGGGTAATTCTCATGAGTTACTGCAACTTTCTCAGATGTGGAAACCTGTTTACCAGGTCACTCTGATCCTTGATTTGGTGTCCTGTATGTGTCTCTTATCAATTCTCTCCCTTGCTGTTATCTTTCCAAAGTGGACTAACAAGTTACCTTATAACACTCCTGTGCAAGCCGTATATGATACCCCTAGTTTCATGGTCAGTGCTATTAAGGAAAATATCAGTGTGATTTGTACATGCACTGATCAATGGCTGTATTAATCCATACTCCAGTGAGGCCTACACTTACTTTCCATTAGAGAGGGGTTGAAAGATGTTCATTACCCTCATTGGCCTATCAATACTGAAAACATCTGAAATGTCCCACAGCATGCCAGCTGGCAACACAGATTGTTTTTCTAAGGTCAGCGCTGTTATGCTTACTCTCCGCTAGGAAGCTGAAAACCTCCCCTGGAACTAAAGGGCATTTTTACACATGCAAGCACTGCAGTGCCTGGCACTTTGAAAAGCACCCAGCACTGCAATGCTTGCAGTTGTATAAGCAGTAAAATGCACTTCAGCACTGAGAAAATGGCAGTGGTGTGCTTTTGAACTAACACACACATGATGCTTTAGTTCAAAAGCACACCACCACCGTTTTCTACACACTGGTGCGCATTTCACCACTTATACAACCAAGCAACGCAGTGCAGTGTCACAGAACCAAAAAGCATGTGTATAAATGCCCACAGTGGCTATGGAGGTGAGACAGCAACCAGTCTGTTAGCCCTGTGCACATTAGTTTTGTACTTGGTTTAACCAGACACTATGGAAAAGTTTCCAGCTAAAAATTGACTTTCCATTTCTCCCAGGACAATCAATGCCTTTTATTCTGGGATCTTACATGAGCACAAGCCCGTTGTCCCACTTTAATTACCTGTGAAAATGGAAATAACGTTTCCAGTCCACATCCCATTCAAAGCTAATTCAAGTAAATTGCCATTCAAAGGGTGTGAGTAAATGAC